ATTTCCACTTTCATTTTCACACACCAGAGAAACAATGCAATATTTAAACATGCATGTCCAATTTATTTCACTTAAGATTATGGTCTCAAGCTAATTGGATGGACCTTTAGATCATACGGGTTTTAAGAAGTATACGAATACGAATTTAGAACAGGACAGGATAAAACCTATGGTGTAAATTTGATGTTGTGCCCTGTCTTGGATCATTTGGGTTACTGTTAACAAAAATACCCACAAACTGAGTATCTTATAAACAATGGAAATTTATTTCTTATAGTTCTAGAGGCTTAGAAGTCTAAGATAAAGGCTCTGAAAGATTTGGTGTCTAGTGAGGGCCTGGTTGCTAGTTCTTAGATGTTACCTGCTAACTGTGTCCTCGCACAGTGGAAGAGACAAGACAGATCTTTGGCCCTTTTATGAGGGTACCTGTCCCATCAGTTCACCTCCACTTCCTCATACTGTCATTTCAGTGATTAGGTTTCAATATGAATTAGGGGAGATAACAGGTATTCAGACCATAGCATAACCCTCCATCCCTCACCCAAAATAAGGGCAAAATAATTATAATTACGATTTCTTCTAATTTATAAGAATCCACACATAGAGTTGCCTGTATCCTATACCCCTTTTCCTATCATTTCTGTTTAGTTTTCCCCTATTAAGTGAATCATTTGTAAAATTTTAAACTTCAAGCTAATGTCTAGGTCCTTCAATGAAGAGGGGAAAAGCCGTGTTCTGGCATAGGTGATCAAACAGCCCTAATTATCTCCGTAATGACCTGCTGCCCTAACATTTTTTTCCTTGTAATCAGTACTTTTTCTGCTCGATTTTGTCATATAAAAGTGCTACTGAGGATCACTCATGTTAGCAGACATTCTTTTAAAAAGATTCCTGGTTGGTAGTCATCTGTCTTGTTTCTGAGAATCAAATAATTTCAAGCCTGTGTCCTGTTGAAGCAGATGTTAGGCATGTATGGGCTACGTGTTAACCAGTGATGCCTCTCTGGACAGGTTAGCTCAGAATTAGGAAGGCTGTCTGAGAAGGTGGGTGCGTTGTCAACCAAGTAGCTTACAGAAAACTCAGAGAACAGCTGTCAGGGAAAGCATAAAAGACTCAGAACTCTGAGGACCTTAGAATAAATCTGTTTTAGACTAGGTGTTATAGAAAACAGGGAAATTTCTTTGGCCTATTATGATCTATAGTACAGATTTCTTAAGAGGTCATCTTGGCCTTTGTATATCTATGTAGCTTATCTTTCTGGTATGAGAATAGGTGAAAGGGCTTACAAAATAACCACCTACACTTTTTTCAGTTAGGTTGACTACACAGGCATTGCACACAGATCTATAGGATTATTATCATGAAGACTAAATTTCTTTGTGGATATCCTACTCTGGAACTGAGAGCAGATAAAAAGAAATTATTACCACTTCCTTCTTTGCCTACAAATTTACAGGCTTCTGCTCCAAAAGAAGATAGAATGGGGTGGGTGTAGGGGACAAGGAGAAATATGTAAAAGGAGGAAAAATTCTCAGATGAACTACAAAACTTTTATAGTTTAGTTTGGAAGCATTGGCCTTCTCAGCTGGCCCCTTGATAATAGAGCCAATGGGATTATGTGAATCCTCTCTTGCTTCTGCGTCCTGTTTCAGGAGACTCACGGTGAAAATGGAAAGGGTAAACAGCATAGTCAGGAGTGAGTTGCTTCTCATTTCAGGGGCTGGGAGACTGACACCATAATGGATGATTTAAATGGATTGTCCAGTTTCCTTGATTCTAGACACTGTAATTTTTTAAATATCAGAGTGGATCTCATAATCAATATAAATAGTTAAATAGTAAGATATTTTTACTCTGAAAACCTGTTTTCGATAACTGGTTATTTGTCTCTTGATCACATTTTAGAATATGGGAATTCAGATACTTCTCTGCGGGGGAATTACAGCCCCAGTCACAGAAGACTTGTCAGTTAAATTATTGAACTAAAGAATTATAGTGAAAGACATTAAAAGACTGGCAGTTGTGAAGGAAATTATTAAAACTTGAAAAGAGCACATGTGCTTTGTATTTCAAAAAGGAGAAGAAGGTGGGTTCATAGAATGACGTTGATACTGAGCGTTGGCAATATGATAGAACAAAGGTCAGCAAATTTTTTCTGTTAAAAAGCCAGAATGTAAATATTTTGGTTTTATGGACCATCTAGTCTCTCACAGCTGCTCAATTCTGCCATTGTAGCATGAAAGCAACTTTGACAGTATGTAAACAAATGAGCAGGGCTGTGTTCCAGGAACACCTCATTTATTTACTGTAGTCAGCAGACCAGCTATGGCCAACAGGTAGTAGTTTGACCATCCCTGTTCTAGAATACATTGATAAATAGGTACTTTTGTTCATGCATAGGAAACAAGTAGGAACTGGGAACCATTCTGAGTTCTTTGAGACTAGGTCTGACGGGCAGTTCTTCTCCATCGTTTTTCAGTAGCACTGTTGTTATACAGGATCCAAAGTATAGTTTATTTTTACATCATTGTGACATTTTGTAGAATATTTCAAAAGTTTTTTGTAGAAGGTGAAAAAATGTAGAGCACTGCAGTTAGTCAGCTGTTAGTTTCCAAGAACCTTCAGCTGACAATGCAAGGGAGCAAGTAGCTAATGAGTGCTAACAAAAATTTAATGGTATGAATCCTTAAAAATGCTTTATATGTTAGCTTTTGACATAAAAGGCGTAACATAATATAGTAATATATTCTGATAGTAAATTATCTCGTTTATATGAAATTCTGTGTATCAAAGTCATACAGTATTTCCCCAAAAATGCTGTAATTTCCTACTGCTTCATTACTCAAAAAAGTTTAAGAAGTACAAATAGCAATCTATTCCGTATTGTGCTTTCCTTGGCTCTCAAATGTTCTTCTTTTTTAGTGAGTTTTATCATATAATGGCAAATTAAATTTTGATAACTCATGCCTCATCTTCATACCAGGCTCCTAATAACAAGCATGTGATTAGAACACTCATAAATTAAAGATCCTCTCTTGTAGATTCCATATTAAAAGCTTTATAGACGACATAATGTAAAGAGTGAAAATTTCATGTTCAGGAGTTTTCCAGAAATGACAACATTTTGCTCACAGCAATGATTTTTGTCAGCACAAAACCAAAAATTCCTCGGGGCCAGAATTTGAGTCGCAAAGTTACTTCCCTTCCTAAGATTCATGTGTACTTAATGGTATAATAGTTACATTTCTCAGAAAACATCAATGCTAGTCTAGAATGTCATAGAAAAAAGAATGAAAAAGAATAGTCTATTAGTAGTAGTTCAGTGAAGACAAGGGGCAATAATGCAGGGCTCTGTATTAGAAGAGGCAGAAAGCCCAACCAAGTCTACCCTAAATGAAGAAGAGAGGGAGCAGGGGAAGTTTATTAGCAGTATATTAGCTTTTATAACTGAAAAGTCCAGAAAGCTGGCTAGTTAGTCCCTCCGCTTTCTGGGGGATATAAATACAGTCACCAAGTTCAAGTACCTCGTTTCTCTGCTCTGCCTTCTGTGGTGTTGGCTGTACCCTTGGTTTCAGTTGACCTCTAGCAGCACTTCCCATTATATTTTTAAAAGGGCTACACCCACCTATACCCCCACATCTTCGGAAGGACTATGAAGAAGAAACTTTCTAGGAAGCCCCAGGAAATATCTCACTTTAATTGGCTTATGTACTAGCACCTAAACCAGTTATCATGGCCAAGTGGATAAAGCATGCTAATTGGCTTGCATCAACGAAGACCTACCTCCAGAACTACAGGCATTGTCTTCCCCACTAACAGAGAAAAGCTACTGTATTAAAGGAGGTTTGGGATCATGTTCCTAGGAGAAGTGGTATAAAATACCATGCAGCACATGGGTGTGAGAAATAACAGCAGAAAGAAAGCCACCAAGGATGTGGTGAGTGTTCCAGATAAAAGAGCCCAGCAATGTGATGTCCACATTATATCAGGTTCATAAAGCAGCACTGTTATGTGAATTACTAATACTCAAAATCATGAACCTGAGACATTTAGGAAAGATTAAATTGTTTGATTTACTAAGACAGGGAAGAAGTTAATGGATGTTGGGAAGGCGTGTGTGTGTGTGTGTGTGTGTGTGTGTGTGTGTGTGTGTTTGTGCATGTGCCTTAATAATAATAGTTTTATTTTTTATTCGTATATATCTGCAATGGTGATTACATTCATCTTGGGGAATTGGTACATATACATAGGGCATCAGTCTTTCTTTCCTCTTCCTCTCCTGGCCTTCCCATCTTCCCCTATCCCTAGAGCCTCTTCCCATGTCCACAAAGGTTCTCCTCTGTTTCCTGCCATCTTTTGGCGGGGGGTTCTTTTTGGTACCGGGGATCAAATTTGGGACCTTGCGCTTGTGAGGCAGGTGGCGGCACCACTGAGCTAAATCCCTAGCCTGTTTCCTACCATCTTTTATTTTGCTCTTCAGTTATATTTTGGGTCTCTCATATAAAAGAAACCATATGATATTTAATTTCCTGTGTCTAATTTATTTCATTTAGCATTATGGTCTCAAGATCCATCCACTTTTCTATAAATTACTCAGATTTATCTTCTCTATGGCTGAGTACTCCACTGTGTATATATACCACATTTTCTTTATTTATCTGTGGATGGATCTATGGACTGCTTCCAGGATTTAGCTATTATGAGTTGTGCTACTATGAACATGTGTCACTGAAGTATGCTTTGTTTAATTCTTTCAGGAAAATACACAGATGAAGTAATAGTATTTTTAAAGGTCTAAAACCAAACAACCAAAAGGCTGTTTTTACCCTATCAGCTTTTTAAAAAACATATTTTTCTGTGTCCTCAGACTCTATTTGTATCTTATTAAAACCATAGATTTGACACCAAAAAGTTCTTAAAATCAGTGTTCTATTATGCATGGTTTACATCTTTAAAAGTTATAGTTTATTGATGAAAATACTGCTTTTGCTTTTATCCAGAATGCATACACAGCCACAGCTATCAACAGCACCAACTTCTGCACCTCAGCAAAGGATGCCTTTGTCATTCTGGTGGAGAATGCTTTGCGAGTGGCTGCCATAAACACAGTGGGAGACTTCATGTTATTCCTAGGCAAGGTAAGACCAAGCATATTGCTTGAGACAAGTATACTGTGTAAGTAAATTTTTCCCTTCAGTTTTAAAAATGTGTGAGTCAACAAAAAACTAAAAGTAATTTAACATAACAGCAAATATTTGCAAATCCTTTCATAATCATCATATATTTTGCCATGTTCCTTCCATATATTATGTTTATTTAATCCCACTCCCACAGAAAATTTATAAGGTAAGTTCTGTTGTTTTCCAAGAAATTAAAAGAAAATGGAGGCACAAAGAGAGTAATTTGCCCAACTTTCTCCTTACATATTTTGAACTCTAAAGAATTAAGTGGGCCGGGGATTTAGCTCAGCGGTTTGGCCTGCCTTGCAAGAGCAAGGACCTGAGTTCAATCCCATGTACCAAAAAAAAAAAAGAATCAAGTAGCGGTCTAGGTAGTAATTAGGGGTAGTACTCTATGTGGAGCCTCATTTCTTGGATTTAAATCAGTCTTGGCTGTATCACTTACTAGTAAACTGTGTGACCTGAGACAGATGATAGAACCTCTCTGTGCCCCCATTTGCCCTTTTGTAAAATTGAAATAATAATGCAGCCAAACTCGTACATGTTATGAAGATTAAACTGGTTACTATTCCATAGGTCATGTAGGGCAGTGTTTGCCATATTAAATTTTAGTGAATGTTAGGTGCTGTTGCATATAAATCATTTTAAAATGGAGCTAGGGCTGGTGATGCAGCTCAGTGGTAAAGTGATAGAGTGCTTGTCTAGCATGGGTAAGGTCCTAGGCTCAATTCCCAGCCCTACAAAAGTATCTAAATAAAATAAAATAAATAGAAGGGCTGGGGGTTTGGGTCAGTGGTTCCGCCGCCTGCCTTGCAAGCACAAGAGCTCAAGTTTGATCCCCAGTACCAAAAAAAAAAAAAAAAAAAAAAAAAAA